CATCATCATCATCATCATCATCATCATCATCATCATCATCGCCATCGCCATCACCATTACCATCACCATCACCATCACCATCATCATCATCATCTGGGGTGGGGGAAAGAGAGGTCACTGGGTCAGACTTCAGGTACAGGAAGCCCCTCCCTCCCAGATTGGAGTAATTGATCCTTAACAGATGGCGAATCTGAACTTCCCTATCTTTATGTGCTTCTTTATTTCTCCTCCTATAAAATGAGGGCAATTTGGAACTCCATGAAATCCTAAGGTTTCTGCCATTATTTTCTTTGCTTCCTCTTGTATCTCAGTGCTTCTAATTCCAGTGGGCAGGTTTCTTCATCTTCATGATGCCCATATTAGCAGCTGTCCAAAGTTTCTCAAAGAAAAGCAAAGAAATAAAAGGAGAAAGCAAGCAGACAAAGCATTTAGTTCAGTGTTTCTCAACCTTGGGAACTTTAAGATGTGTGGACTTCAACTTCCAGAATTCCCCAGCCACCATGCTGGTTGGGGGATTCTGAGAGTTGAAGTCCACACATCTTAATGCCACCAAAGTTGATAAACACTGATTTAATGAAGGCACTGCTATCTGAACCCCGTGCGTTAGCTTTATGGCATGCAAAGGGAAGTGAAATAGGGTTAGAAAGCTTTAAAGTGCAGTAATTTTAAACATTTGAATTACGCTAATGATACTAAGAATTATAACAATTAGGGTGCTTCCAGATGAGATTTTTAATGTACAGACCTACCACGTTTTGCCACTATTGCTTTTGTCTCTTTTACTTTGATGATGATGATGATGATGATGAAGATGATACTAGTAGACTTGTTAAGCGTTAATAAGAAAATAGTCAGAAAATACATAACTGAGACACAAGGAAAGGGATCTGAGGAAGGTGAATCTTCCCCCTGTCTCTTTTTGAGCTGTAACCAGATTAAATGCAACAAATAGAGAAAATCAGCAGAACTGAAATTGACCAGATTGGCAATCCAGAGCAATGCCAAGTGAAGGAGGTGAGATTTAATTCAACTCCTAACTGTCCTTATTTGGAAGGAATTTAAATATGATCATTTAGGTGTGTTCCTGATATACATTTTTAATTACTGAGATTCTTGCAAATGTACTATGTTTCAACAGTGCAGCTAACAAGCAAATAAATAAACAAACAAACAAATGGCAGATTTTTACTCTAAGCGGGTTTGGGAAAATTACTGAACAGAGTATCTGTCAGACACAGTTATGATTTTAAGCAGCAGTCCTTTAAACAAGGCTTAAAGCTTTCTGAAATAAATCTGATAAGACTTACAGCCATATCTCTAACCAAGTTTACTCAAAGATAAGTGTATCAATACTACTTCTGTTGCAAGCTAATATTGAGTGGTTGGTATCATATGCAAATTAAATTGTTAATAGCTCCTGTGAGTAGCTGTTGCATACCATATGATCCACTTCTCTGGGCATAATTCCTTCCAAGTTTTGCTGGGTGTGGTATCTGTGTATCAGGTGTGACTGGACTGATCACTCTTAGAAGAATTACTCACCCACAGAAGTGGCTGCCAGTTGCATCTCTGCATGAATCACCATTCTAGGCTGTCTTTCCTCCAGTCAGGAAGCTTTTCCATATCAATGGTTTGCAATGATAGTAATCAGGATACTCTAAGAGTAGATCATTTCTATTTCTCCATATGTTTAGAAGAATTTATTTTTAAATATAAAGTGAAGTATGTCTACAAATGTTAACTCACATAAAGATTCCTCAGCTTTCAGGGGTCTGAGAAACATAGCTTTTACCCAGTGTTTCACTGTTCTGCATTTTACATTTTCTGTTGTTGTATCTTAATTAAAGTATATTGAGTTTTGGTGTATTTTTGCTTCTGCTTGCTGCTCAAACTGCATATGCTTATGGAGCACCAAATGCATTCTGTAATTCGTTAATTCAACATTACAATTTGTAAACAAGCTTTGCAACTAGTTAACCAGATACTCTCAAGTATGAATTAGAAAATCAGGCCTGGATTTTAAACTGTTCCTCAAACGTTCACACAAAATGATGTGAATATCAGAAAAAAATGAGATCCTTGTAAAAGCAAAGATGAACTCATAATGCCTAGTAATAAAAAATAATATTCTTTGCCATTAAGATCTGCACCTGAAGTTGCCCAGTCCTATCTAATGAAGGCCAATATCAGTTGATAATCCTAGAAGGTTTAGAAAGCTGAACATTTTCCTTGATTTTCACAACACCTTCAAGTATTCCTTGGATTCTAATTGGCTCCTAGCCTGATCTTCTAATTGGTCAAAACTCCAATATAAGCTTCTTGGTTCAGGCCTGCATGAAAGAGACAGGCATGTACACTGGTATGCCTAAAGAGTCCTTTGGAGTCGGGCAGCTAATGTTTAAATAAATGAATAAATAAAGGTTCCTGATTCAATCTCTATTTCAAAAATAAAAAAGATTAGAAAGCAATACGAAAGATTGCTTGATCTGCTGGCAGTTAGCTTCCCATGATGCACTTGGCATTAAACCCATTCAGAATGCCCCTTGCTATTTGCTTTTCTGCCTGTTTTGCACAGCCTTTGGCAACTTAATCATTTCTTTGTATTTGGCTTTGATGACCTTTTATCTATGGTGTGGCTGCAATTCCTGAAAAAATATTCCTGAAAGTTCCATGAAAACATGCAAATTAAAAACAACTGAAGATATGATTTAAGTGATTCAAAATAAGCAGCCAAGCTGTTTAAACCTTTAAAATGAGCTGCATTGCATTACATGGAAGCATTATGAAGCATTTCTTTTCATATTAGACCAGTTGCATCTTTTTCCAGGCTGATTTGAAGGCTTTGCACAGCCCTAAAAGCAATGAGTGTTTTTATCCATCTCTATACTTCTACATTCTGTGAACCACTTGGAGACTGAAAATAATAGCACCAGAATTATCTAGTCAAATTCGCTTTAAAATTCAACATTCTCTTTCTTCAGATAGCAACTAGTTAGATGTTCTTAGAAAAACGGTAAGAAGGTGTGATGGTGATATCCATCCAATTGCAGGCATCTGGTAACCTAGAATATATTCTATTACCATACCAAAACAGGTGAAACAGAATCCAGTAATTCTAGGTTATTAACCGATCTTCAATTAATGCAGTGGATTTGGCTGAATTTGCCCAGACGCTACCTTTCTGAATGTTGTTGATGAATGTATTGCTCATGTATTTATCAAGTTCTTTAAAATATATACTTATTTTTTAAGTAAAATGAAGAGAAGAATGGGTAGTGTTAAGGGATGACACAATTTCTCATTCCTTAATGCAACATTCAAAATGTAGCCCAGTGAAAAATGAAACAATTGCCTTTTCAGAGAATTGACCAACAAAGTTAGGGAAAAAAATAAAAATTAGCACACATTCAAGGTTGTCCAGGAAGCTGCCTCCTGAAGCACACTTTGTATACCAATTTTCTTTTTGTGATATTTTTGTTATCAAGTATGTCTGTCATGTGTATATACAGAGAGAGAGTTATACATAAGACTAGCCTTATACATAACTAGCTAGAAGATAGTCTTATTTGAGTTCAGTGGGATTTATGGCCAATTTAAATGTCTGCTGATAATGTTTATCAGTCAAGATTACCTACTCTTTACTCTTTCTTCTTTCTATAGGCACTATATAAATTAAGAGAAACAGAACAGCAGCAAAAGCTTGTATACAGAAATGCTTCCTGTAGATTTCCTTCTTCAGTAGAAACCATGAATACTCATATTTAGAAACAGTGTGAATAATATTGATTTACATCCATCACCCAGGATTTATTTCCTCTTCCTGCACTTAAAGGCTCTGACTATTGATATTTGCTTGTCTAAGCAAAATGAGTTAGGAGTTTTTAGCCAATGACTGTGCTGGCTGGAGATTATGGGGGTTATAGTCTGACGTCTGGAAGACACACTGACTGCAAATATTGGAAAGGCAATGGACTGGAGAAAGCTGCTCTCAAAATTTTAGCTGTATCTTCTCTAGCTCTGCTCCTTCTGGTAAGATAGGACGATCCCCATTATAGGCAACATTCCAAAAACAAGAGAACAATTGTAATTTTAAAAAACCAACCAATCCAAAAAATATGTCTGTTAAGGCAAAGAGCATATCTTCCTTCACTTCACTGAGAAAAACAATAGCACGGCATCTCACAGTCATGTTGTTGAAGAAAAGGTACAGAGTGCTTTGTGCCAGGCCATCAAATTCTGGCCAGGCCCAGGAAGGTAGAGGCATGAAGCACTGGTTGATTTCAAGCCATGGTTGTCCACATTTCTTCCACTTTCTGTGCAGGTGGGTTTGACAGACAAGTAGAGGTCACCTAGCCTTCTGTGTCCGATATATGAATTAATCCTAATAGAAAAGGTCCATTGGCTCCCCTGCCTCTTTTATTTCTCAAACTAATTTTTTTCCTATTGTTATTATTTTATGCAAGTCTATCTGAACAAAAACCTTGTCCTTCCACCAAAAGCTGCACCACCTTCTCCCTGTTTTAACAATGCTATTTTGATATAGGTTGGAGAAACTAGAAGGCAGTTCTTCTACCTTTTGCTCAATGCCTTTGTTGAGGAAAGAAGGTTGTTGCTATGGCAGCTGCCTGCTACTCCTCCTTTTCTCCTCCCGCCCCTTCTACTGCTCTACAGTGATGTCACTTCCCAGGTCTCACTTCTCCCTAAAAGGGTGTCTATGGCATTTTTCTGTCAACACTGTTTCCAACAGAGCTCCTTCTTTTCCTTGAGAAAAAGCAAGGGAAGGAAGAAAAATGATTCTGATACTGAAAGTGCTCCTTGTGGCTTTCTGTTTCCTGTTTCTTTCTTCTTTATGGCATTCAAGTTATGTTCTTTTCTATTCTGAAGGACCGCAATTCACTATGACAACTGAGGGTAACACACAGCCTTTCTCTTGCCTCCCAGAATTTTCCACCTTCCTTCGGCTACTGGAGCTGTCTCAGCTAACTGGTCAGCTTGTGAATGAAAATAAGGGTTCCCAGACTGAAAATAGCTAGCAATGGGGTAAGATCAATGTAATGTATGATACTTTCCCTAAGTCTACTGGCCATGTGGGAGAACCTCCTAGGTTGTTACAATCTACAGATTTCCCAATTAAGGATATATTTCTGGAAATCACAATTACTTTGAACTCTGAGCTTTTAATCCATAGCTTGATGTGTTGAAAAGCTGATTCTGAAAACATAATGAAGAATCTCCTTCCTCAACTCAGTGGTCTCAGGATGTACTGGGCAGAACCTCACATCATTCCCAACTAGAGTGTCCATTAATTATGCTGAGTGGGGTGATAAATAGTGTGGCCCACATACTACTCTTCTGTTAATCTCTAGTGCCTTGGGAGACCACACAACTATTTTTTATTTTTTCTCCCTTCCTTTTTTATTTCAACTTGCTTGTCTGCCCAACTCTGACCCTTAGATCTCTTGAATTCCAATCTTCTTGATTGTTTTTTCCATCCCTTAATATAGTATTTTTCCCTTTTAACTTTTTTAACCCTACCCCCATCCCACTGGATATTCATAGTACCTGTGTGAAATGTATGTGAAGCATTGTGTAAGTCTTTAGCCATTTCCAGACTTTTAAAAAAAAACACCTATTAAACATAAAATTAAAATATTGAGAAATGGCACCTCTCATTTCCACCTTGCCCACTAATTTGGCCTTCCTCCCATCTTTATCTTAGGAACATGCATTCATGAACACTGCCTAATTCAGTCTGCTTCCAACCCTCATCCCCACCCCCACAATGAAAGAGTCTCTTACCTGCAGACGGTAATCAGGTTTTTCCTTTCTACTGAGATGTTCCGGGAAGAGGTTTTCTTCGAGGACAATCCCAGCGCCATGGTGGACCGGATACAATGTGATTCCATCCAGGGGAAAGACGCTCTCAATAGCCCCGGTGGTGTCACCACCACCTCTTCTTCTTCCTCCTCCTCCTCCTCCTCCTCTTCCTCCCCACCCCCTCCCCTCCCCCTTCCTCTTCTCCCTATCTTCCCCCAGAAAACAAGGCGTTGGGGCAACCTCCCCCAAGAGCGGATGGCTCTGAAGTATCTCCCTCCTCTCTCTCTTCCCCAAATTAGCTCCAGCCCCCTTCTTGGATGGTTCGGGGAAAAGAGCAGCGAAAGCCGGGCGAATGGCGACGGGGGAGGGAAGGTCGGGAGGAGCTCTCCTTGGTGCTGATGGAAAGCGGGGTCCTCCTCCTCCTCCACAGAGGAAACCAGCCCCTTTGCCGATGACGTGATGCCCGAGGATGGGAACAGCCGGCGCCGGCGGAGAAGCCGGGAACGGGAAGGCGGAGAGGCGGCGCCTCGCTTGTCAGTTCTCTCCAGTCATTTCATGCAGACATTTCGGCCGTGCACAGAGCTCTCCCACGAACAGGTCTCCTGCAGTTCTTTCGGGACCTGCGCTGGGTTCGTTTGCTGTTTTCATTTTGAACAATCTCAGTTTTGCAGCAACTAAGATCAGGGTAACCTGCGATATTTTGCTCACTGAAGTTGTTAAATAAAGGAATCAATCCGCACTTCGCCCCTCCTGGCAGTGGTTTACATGGGGTAAAATGGACAACCTTATTATAGCAAAGCGTGAAAGTTGAAGAAACCAAGCTGGATTGTTTTGCACACCACAGTAAGCTATAATGTGGTTTGTTTGGTTGCAGGTGTTTTATATGCATCCTGGCATCATGGCCCACCATGGCTCTGGGATTGTCTTATTCATCAAACTATGTTAAAAATCATAGTGTAGGTCATTGCAAATCCAGCCATTTTTCTTCTCTTTCTTACCTCCATTTCACTCATACTCTGTTGATTCTCTGTGTCTGTATGGAACAGGGACCAGTGAAACCTGTTCTTCATAAAGTTTTTCATTTTTGTCGTTGGCATGCTATGAAGGATAACAACAACAGCGTGTTGTATCTCCTAATTAAAGCCTCATCAGTACTGCATAAGAGCATGAGGATGTAGATTGAAGAGCTTCTTGATAGATTATGTTAAGCAGGAGTTAGATTTTTCTGCCTTATTATTATCTGAGGTGGCCACTAAACTTGTCTTATGTTCATATTGTCTGTGATGAAGGCGAAAAAAAATGGCCATTCACCTCAGATAGTTAACCAAGATGTTAGATGAGGTCTCAGAAGAGGGAATGGGTTGAACTGCTAAGCTTTCTGTTTTACATCCTTTCACACAGAACCAGACAGATCCATATTATTTTAATTTGGCTAGACAATACCATCTGATAAAGGACAGTTCTATCAGGTTACCTACTACATGTGCTTTGATACATTTTTAATTACTTTTACTTTGTGGAAGACAAATACTGGTGTTGGTCCAGCACCCAAATTAATTACATTTCTTCTTTACAATCCTTATTAATTAATTCTAAAGGAAAGGCAGCAAGCTGAAGCACATTTATTCAGTAATCTTATTGAATTTAAGGGGAACTTAGGAACTTAGGCCATTCATTAATTGCTGTTTTAACTTTGTATAACTGCCCAGAGTCACAACTATGAGATTGGTGGCCATATCATGTAAATAAATAACGAAAATTCAGCTATGCACATTTTCAAGTGGGTAAACAAAGGTTGGAATCTTGACCAGCTCATCTTCAGAATCCAGCACTCAAGACAACATTTGAATAAAAAGATCCCAATTTCTAAGCAGTGATTCTATGCCCACTAACCTGGAAGTAAGTTTCTCTGGACTCAATCAACCTTTTTTCCAGAATAGGCATGTAGGACAGTGCGCTATAATTCTGGAGTGAGGTATGAATCTTATAAACCATCCAGTGGCTGCTCACAAACTTTCATGCAAAGGGAAGAACTGCTGCTGAACTGGATTGCCTGGTGCTGGATTCTACAGAAAAATGCTTCTCTGTGTGTTGCTGTGCATTGATTTTTGAAGCTGAGTCAGAATTCTGGGAAGCATGTAAGTAAAGACATCCTCATGACTGCATCCATTCAGTTTTCTTGGCAGTGCTATAAAGTGGTTTGTTATTGCCTTCTTCCAATTTTTTTTAACTTCCCAGTCTACTCTCCACTCTGGAGTTCCCAGACAATCCCCCATCCAAATACTAACCAAGACTAACCCTCCTTAGCTTCTGAGATAGACAAGTACTGAGATGGCTAAGTACTGCCAGCTACTAGACACAGAGGGACAAACTGGCTTCATGAACATATTCACTGCAGTTTATTTATTTATTTGCATAGACTATACAAACCATTGGTAGTAATTTGCATTAGACTTTGCCTCTATGTCATGACTAAATTAATCCAACCTTTCCCAATTGGATGTCTCCAGTTGTGCTAGGAATTGAAACACCCCAAATTCCCAGCAATCGTATCAGTTTGGATTATGGTTCTGTCATCCCAGCATGTGGAGATCATTAAAGTTGGGGGGCTCAGCAATGAATTGTGTAGTTTTTTTCAAACTTTGTGCCTTGAAATAGCTCTTTCCTCACTTTCTTATGTGCTGTGCTTGTCTTCTATGGAATATCTATGTAACAGAGAACATTCTATATCATACTGATAATACACTTCACATTCATTTTGGCCGACCTTTATTTTGATGTTTCTCAAAAAGCTAAGCAGGATTAGACCTAGTTAGTACTCAGATGAGGGAATATTGGGGATATTAGGGCTGTAGGCTAGACAGGGTAGTTGAGAAAAACATCCTGGAAGAAGGCAACAGCAAACTATTTTCCATATTGTTGCCAAGGAAACTACATGGACATGAATCCCCGAGGATTCAGCTCATCTTGAAGAGCACAACTTATGTTGTACAAACTAAAAGTGCCCTGAAAACATGACCAGCTCTGTCTTGAACCAAAGGATAGTAAGAGTGGGCTTCTTCTCAAGAAGGTTGATCAGAACTGCAAAGTTCTCTGCCCTCAGGTCACTGTTACCATCCATTCCAACTCCTACAGTGTTTATGGACATCTGTTGTTTCAATGCATGCAGAGACTGCTTCACCAAGGAGACACTCTCTGAGAACTTTATCATTGTTAAGGTGGCACTCTCAGATCATTAAGGAACATTAATAAAGATTCTTGTAAATTAGGGATGGGCCACATTTGGCTCTTGGTAGGTCATTGAACTCCAATTTCCACCAGCCCTAACACAGCATAGCTAACATATGGATAATGGGAGTTGCTGTACTCTCACATTACACATCCCAAGTCTTTAAAGCTACCTTTTGTTCATATTGTCTGCTTCTGAAAAGCAGAACCTCTAGGTGAAAAGGTCATTTACCCATTTCAAACAGAATGAGTTACATTTATGGAGTATACTAATTTGATGCTTTTATAAAGAGGTCTTTGGTTAAGTGAGAGGCTTTCTTCATCCATTCCTTTGAGTTTATCTGTTGGCTGCATTAAAGCCAGGACCACAACACTGTGATGTGCCCCAGATGAAAAAAAAATTGGAAACACTTGTCAGATTAAAAAAAAGTATATGTTAATTTGCTTTACATTTATTGTCCAGCAATTAGCTTATGAGCTGCAAAATATTTTCCTAGGTCTGCATTTTAACACAGAGATATTTTTCTTTGACCTTGATTATTTATTTTCTTTGTAAAAATCTAGGCTAGGCTATTTCCTGTAAACCTGCATAGATGCCTATATACTATATATTCTTATCTCCTGCTCTCTACAGGTTGGCATTGGTATAACACCATTTCTTGTAGAGGAGAATAAGGAAATAATCTGTCCCCTCAGATGTAGGGAGGGATTCTGCTTTTGTCAGCTGTATCGTTCTAGATAAAGCAAGGCAACTTAAGTTGCCAACTTAGTGGAAAAATCAACTGACCTGTTCCAGCGCTTTGAACAGCAGTTTGTTTAAAACATTGTATGGAAGCAATACGCATTGTTTCCTGTTAAGTATCTCCACATCAAGCTACCATTGAAGATGCCACAACAGAAATGGGCTGAAGTTAAAACTGGCTACCCTCGCATTCACAGTGAGCAAGAACTGGATTACTGGGGTTAGATGGGATAATTGTGAGAACTGGATCACTAGAACTAATATTGGTGTTTCCTTTCCTTAACGCAACCTGGGATTCATAACAGCCTGGGCCTCAAAGTCTTTTTCTTGCAGCCACTGTGCACTAACTGTCAACCTTCTTCTGTAGCAAAGATTCTGCACCTACGGTACTTCCCAGTCATGGTCACGGGAATGATAATCTTACAATAACTGCAGTTTCAAGATTTGGAAATTATCCTCCCTCCCCCCTCCCTTTTTACAAATTAACCCATGGCAGTACCCCAATTCAGGGATTATTGGTGCCAACAATGTTGCAGAGAAGCAAGGGAGAAGCAGCCAGGGAGGATACTTGCTCCTGCTAGACCTGGCTGTCTACTGAGAGATAAAGCAGTTACTGAGGGAGGGGCATGCTCTGAGATAGGCCTAATCGTAAAGCCCTATCCACTGTAAAAGGCAGCTAGGAGCACCACCCAAACTCATCCACTTACAAGCTACCAGGTGCCTAAGTGTCATTCTGTAGGGGTTTTTTTCAAATACCACAAGGAAAATTTGATTGGCTCAATTTCCTTGGTATATTTTAAAACCCTCCAATGGCACTCATGCAAAGTCCTTGTTTGCTTTCTCAGAAACACTGCTAAAGGTCTGAAGAAATGCCTTTCAGCTGAATAGAAGTTAAAGTAGTCTTCTGCCAAACAATGTATTGAGTACAGTAGTTCAGTCAATCTGATATTCAGTGCCACCCACTCTGATTCCTGGGCCTCATCATTGTCTCCATAAAACTGTCAAACCACAACAGCTGTGTCAGAAGAAATCATCATATGCAAAATTCAGCGGTTACATCCTGAAATATTTGACCAGGAATACACCTGGCTCCAAAGCCTGAAGAAAGATCCTTGAGCTTTTTTTATGCTTTAAAGATGAATTATACTTTTTTAATTTGAGAGGGGATTATTAACTACATGGGGAGTAATATTAAGGACATCTGCACACAACATGCTAAAATGTAAACTTTGGTTAACAAGTGTTCTGCTATGTTAACTTTAATAACTCTTTGAGGTTTCTGTTTTAATATGTCATTGAAATCTATTTTAGATTCTATCTTGGATGTCTGGAAGTAGGATTCTTTGTCAAATGAAGAACGCAAAGTTCAATTTCCGGTGCTCCACGCTGGTGTGCACTGCAACCCAGGAACCTGCAAAGGTCAGGGAAAGAGCTGCACGTTTCACAGGGAGCAACACCCTGCACTGTGGAGAAAAAAGACATGGAAAAAACACAGACGCTCATACACACACACACGCAAATGTACACACATAAACAGGTGTGGCGTGCACATGGTTATTGACTTAATGTATCTCTTAGTGTCTCACGCAACATAGTCTAAGTGTATTTTATTAATTTAATATAACTAAACATAAATTTGCACTCAGTTAAATAAAATGTAGATGTTGTCCTTGGCTCTTTTAGAGTGTAGGCCCTTGAAGGGACATTACAGCCTTCCTCTAGAGAAAGATTGCATGCCCCTTCTTTAAACTAGCTCCCCCAACCTGGATTGGGAGAATGGATTGGGACTGCAATCCCCAATGTTTTCACTTAGCATGGATGCTAGCTGAAAGTCTGGAAGTTACATTTCCATCCAGAGAGTGCCATGTTCGGGGAGAGTAATTTGGCATTTTCTCAGTTACCCAATACAGCCAGTTCAAAACCCGCTCGTGTCTCTACATATTTTACACTCTCAGTTTTTAGCTTCTGTAAAAACCTCCTAATTCATTCTAAGTGGCTGGAGAGCCAAAACAATTTTGAAGGATCCAGTCCATGCTGGATCACTAAATAGCTGCTGCTTCAGAAGGAAGGATCTGCACTCTTCATCATGGATATATAGATTGGATATTATAACAAATCACAAAATTATTGGAACCAGAAGGTTCCTCTATTTACCCCCACTTAGCTTTTCTATATGAGTAATTACGTCTTATTCTAATGCAGAGTTCCTGATATGCTTATAACATGAATGTTATTTATGCACTTATGCATTTATGTGACAGATCTTGTGTATATAGGCTCTGATGGAATAGTTTCTGCTTTCGAGGAGAATGTTGCTTCATATTATTTAAAGAATAGCTCTGCAAATTGCACCCATGAGAGTTCATCCGAAGTTAATGAGATCCAGAGAGATATGGTTCATGACCCATCCTTGTCTTTCTTCCCATATTCCCTGAAAGATACCAATGGGGTACTTTCCTGGTAAACCTTTCACCAAAAAGGGAGCTACAACATTTGGCAGGCACTCTCCCTTCTTCCCCCATCCCATTACAACTACAATAGGGAATTCTCTGGAAGATATGAAGTTGAAAAACTAACATGACTTGTTATGGGAAGAGAGGTAGACTTGCTGGGTCTTGCTCAACACTTACAATAATTTCTAATGTTGGTATAACCAGTGGTAGTAAGGTGGGAGGGGCGTGCCATGAAAATTCAAGGGGACACAGATGGTTAGCAGGGAGATTACACCACATGGTAATGCAAGATAATGTTGTTTACTGGCCCTTGGAAAAAAGGTAGAATCTAGAACATCCAGGAGCATCTCAAATGCCAGGTGGTAGGACAAGATTAAAGAACTAACCATGAGTCAGGACTTAGAAGCACCTCTGGAGAATGCTGTCATCTCATTACTGTCTCTTGTGGACTGGTGGAAACTACCAAGAAGACAGGGGTTCCACAGAGCAACAAAAAGCTACGTGGCTTAGACTTGTGTTGCCCTTCCATCAAGAATACCCTGCAAGCATATAGGTGAGTGAATTTTATACTATCAGTTGAGTTTCTATGAGTCAATGAAAGATGCTCAGGATGTGGACAGAAACCATAATAGATGACTGAAGGGCAATAATTAAGGAAGGAATAGAATCTGGAAGCAAGGAGTGAAGGAACCCTATCTGGTTAGTCTTTTGAGGAACCTTGTAGCTCCAAAAATACCAGTGGTGGAAGATTTAGGCCCTTCCCAACTCATTCAGGTTGGGCTACATCTCCCACCACTCCCACCATTGTGTCATGCTGGGTGGGGATGACTGGAATACTAATAGACGCTGAGTGAGTTGATTGGAATACTACTAATAATATTAATCCTAAGACAGCTGGAGGGACAAAGCAAATCTATAGGAGCTACAGAGGGCCACCTCTGAGCTTTTTATCATCAGTTATTTGATCTTTGCCTTGAAATATATGTATTGATGATAGCTGCAGATAGCTTCTATTTCCTAGAAATACCTGAGCTGTGAGGCAAAGTGATCTACTTTGTGCAAACTCATTCCAGTTTGCTTTTGGTTGCTATACTTTTATTCTTTTTAACATTTTGATCTTTTAAAGGAATTATCCCTATCATAAAACCCATACCTACCGTTGGGTTTATAAAATGCTTAAAACATAGTTTTCATCCTTCTGGCTTATAAAATGAGGGAAACAAAAGTTTCTAACCATGAATAGAAAGAATACTCTCTGTAATTAAATTATATTTTGTGGAAGTTTGAAGATAGCTGAGGAGTATGATGAGTTTGTATGAAGGTTGTCTGTTCTCAAAAGTATTTTAATAAAAATATCAAATTAAATTTCTGGAGAAGATGAAGGGTCCATCAAATCTGGGAATGTGTCTGTGGACAATAAAGATAAGCTATTCAAGATGAGCTATCTAACATATTTTCTCCTGTCTCTCAGAAGCAATATATAGTTGGGGGGGGGGGCAGATCCATTCAAAGTTATAATGGGTAAACGCTATTGATGCACCTGTCTTCTATGAATGTGCCAACCATTTCCAAAGCCATATAAACCACCTGCCATTCCCACATCTTGTGACAATGAATTTTAGAAGCCAAAAAGAATACCCTGTAGGAAGACATTGATTCTTTAATTTCATCCAAACCTATTACTAATTAGATTGATTTGGGTACTCCAAGGTCTAGTGTCTTGGACATAATAAATCTCTGTTAATTCTGTCCTATTTGAATAGTGCTTTTTTATATTTTTGGCAATATTGTTTCTCAGATGATAGGACTGGGATTGTTCAGTACTTCTGCTGCATTTAATAATGATTATGTTGAAATAGCGATATCTAATAATTAGTTCTTATAATATAAACATTCTGATTTCCAGTTTTTCATATTTCTTCATATAATGGATGACAGAGACAGAGACAGAGACAGAGACAGGATATCACGGATTTACTTAAGAAGATGCTCTTAATTCCATCTATGTATTAACTGATTAATTAGATTGCAGGAATGGTGCAAAGGCAATGAAGATGAAAATTATATTCCAGTTGTGATCGTTTATAGAATAAGAGGATAAATTATCTGGACAGGTGAAGGGCTTCCCTTTCACTGGATATATTCAAGCAGAAGCTAGACAGACACTTTTTCAGGATGCTTTAATTTGAATTCCTGCACTGAATTGGGTGTGATGGCATAAATGGGCTATTCCAGCATTATACTTTTATGGTTGTAAATGGACTTTGCACTATAAAATGGCTGGGAATCAGCCACCAGCTCATACAGATATTAGACTGTACTCAAGTTCCAAGGACCTGTCTTCCAATCTACGTGGGATCCCAAATGAGAAAGTCTGCAGAGTTATTGAATTCATAGCACTAGTTCACACATCATACTAAGACATAGTTTTTACCTGTCTCAGTTGGTTGAATAAGCCATAGTTGATTGGGTTCTCTTATCACACTAAGGCATAAACTTTGTTTTATGAAATGCAAAGGCTTGATTCACCCAACATAATAAACCAATGAACACAGTGGCTGTAGATTATAGGCATTTGTGATCTAACACATCCAAAGAATGTTAGGTTTGGAAAGGCTTCTCTAAAGCATCTCCAACATATAATGATTCAGCCTTTTAGTTGCACATCGACAGTAAAAAGGGTTTCTGCTTCACAGGAGAAGTTGAGACATTGCTGCCAATCTCTTGCAACTTAATGAGGTCCAGCCTAACTTGCACTGCAGAGAAAGATAATGTTTATCTGTGGTGTGATGCCACAAAACTCTATTAACTTAGTCTGGACTCACTGAATTGTTTGTAATGTCAAATCAGCAATTATTTAAAACCACAAATTGCTGAATGCAACTCAATACACATTTCTGCCTACAGAGCTTCCATCTCTCTGTTGTTGTTTCTTAAAAGAAAATGAGAATTTAAATTGCCAGGGAAAGACTCCCTACAAAGTTTATTGCCTATATTGATAAATGCAGTGATCGAGGTCATGAGAAAGTCACAATGAACTTTTAATTAAAAGCTCTTAGTTGGTAAAAGTTTTTAGATTCTGGGGAAGGGAGAAGGAAAATTGCACTTTCCATTTTTTAAAAGATTTTTTATCTCACCTTTATTATTTTTATAAATAACTCAAGGTGGTGAACATACTTAATACTCCTTCCTCCTTCTCTTTTTCCCACAACAACCCTGTGAGGTGAGCTGGGCTGAGAGAGAGTGACTGACCCAGTCACCCAGGTGGTTTTTCATGCCTAAGGCAGGACCAGAACTCCTGGTGCCATTTGCCCCTTTTCCAACATAGTAAAACATCTCTTGAATGCTGACACTCAAATCTTGTACAGTTATTGCACACCAGAAGCCATGCTGCCTGGGCTTTCTGAGAAATAGATGGAGGGCACCTGCTTGGGGAAACCTGTCCTATTGGATGATGCTGGCTTTCAGAGCGGGAAAGAAATATACTGAACATATAGCTGAATGAGCTTCTATGGTGCAGAGCAATGTTTCTCAACCTTAGTATCTGTAAGGTGTGTGGACTTCAAGTCCCAGAATTCCCCAGCCAACCATGCTGGCTGGGGAATTCTGGGACTTGAAGTCCACACATCTTAAAGTCCACACTGCAAAACTTAACATTGGTACCAGTTCTGCCAGGAACCATTGTTTCCTGTGCCTAAAATGAATGCAACTGTAGTTGCAGAAGTGAAGTGAGGAGCACCATTTGTGCAATGGTACAGTAATGTGAAAAAAGTTTGTCAAGGAGTATGTTATGATCTATTTTGTCTTCCAAGAGACAAAAAACATGAATAACACCTTAGCAGTTTAACCAAGAGGGGAAAAATAAATGAGCTTGGAATGTGTTGCACTGGGAGGAGAATGGGGCATCACTAAGACATGTCCGTCTCCTGATTAAGTATATTATAAAGCAATTGTGTCAGCCTGCTAAGCACCACACCCCAGATTCATCGGTTCTTACCACAGCGCCCCCTAGTGTTGCAAAAGGGATATAGAAAAGAGGTAACTGCTCCCGTGTTCGCTTTCTAACAGCAAAGTGAACCATTATTAGAACTGCATGTCACAAACCACAATAGGTTTCTTTCAACTCTGTGCATTGAAGGCGGTGAAAATTCTCAGCTAGGGGTTATTTGGAATGCATTTAAAATAAACATGCTGGTGTCATAATATCTTCTATAAATGTCTTCCTTTCTCTCGTGTTTATACAAGAAGACACGATTTTTTCTAAGCTGAAGCCTGGAAAAAAACTCAATTCTATTTTGTTTAAATGTAACATTAATCAATTAAATAGAGTTACCCTGATTGCTCAGCATGTATTTTATTTTTTTTCATTTCTGGTACATTCACAACTGCAACTTTTGGAGGGGCCCTGAGCTATATCTGAGACTTGGTATATGCATGGGTGTGTGTGTGGGCGTGTGTACATGCATACACCTCTAATTTACTATATTAATAGAATTGCAATTCTTTTGGAAGGATTTGGTGATCAGGGTCAGCCTGGGTTTATCAAGTAGAGAGCAAACCAAATCTGTTGCTATGTACAGTTGTCACAAAGTTGCTCAGTTCAATACATTTCAGACAGCAAATTATCCTGGAATATGCAATAGACAGATAAATATTCTTTCATATGTTGCTTTAAAGCAATCTATCACTGAATATCATCGATACGTATGGATGATAACTTTTCTTTTAAGAGAGGTAGTTGTTAGAAAAGAAAAAAGACCACCAAAGCTCAGATACAGAATATTTTAAATAATAATAAGGAAGAAACATCTATTGGTGGTCCATCTTTGGCCACTGAATAATCATAACTAGTACCTGCATATCTGGAATTTAGGGGAAAAGATTTTAATCTCAGAATACTAATTCTGTTCTCTTGAGAAAGTGATATTATTATGCATAAGTTTTATGTTAATGGTGGCTGACATGTTAAATATATGCTTTCTTTAAAGCTTGAACATACACATATCTATGTTTGAATGTAATGAGAGAGGCTGGTGCAAATAAATTTTGCTATTAAAAATTGCTTAGCTGGGAGAACAACAGAGAAAATTCCAGAATGCAATGGGCTGATAATGCTGTTATCTGCATCTACTGTAAAAATGAATGAAGAGTAGCAGTTGACAAGAAAAGGCCCATCTGGAAGCAACCAGAAATTGAATTAAAATAGTTTACGGTTGGTTATATTCATTGCAGGGCATAGAAACAATAACAATGTGTAATGATCGCCGTAGGAGTCACAAGGGACTGTTACTAAAGTGGTTCTGGTTTTCTGCCTCTATTTACTTCCACAAGACATCTCAGTATGTCAGTTTTGTGTGGTCTGACATGAAAAATATTGCAAGCAATCTGTTCTAAGGTTTCCTTGAAGGTAAGGATGCATTCATGTTTCTAACCTCCTAACTTTTGTCTTTGTTCTGCATTTCAAACTGAACCAGCCGACCAGGGCATGTTATCCCCAGGCTGAGAATTAGGAAGAGAACAAGAAGGACGCAAAAGAGGGACCAGAAGCCAAGAGGGAATGGCATCTCAGGTGAGAGAGAAAATATGTTACTTCTACTTGCACGTGAATCTTGGAAACACGCCTTGAACTTTGGGGAAGATATAATTACTGTTTAGTCAGCATCAAAGTTTGTGGTCTGAATTGCTTATTAAGTGAATATTAACATGCATTTTTATAAGTGTTTAACTCTTTCCCTCTCAAAGGAGGACTATGAAACTGGGAGTAAGGAGGAACTTGATCTGGAGGCGTATGGAGACCCTTCACTGAAACAGTCTAATGTGTCACTTGCAAGTGGAAGCAGTGAGTAATCCAAATCAATTGAAGAAAAGAGCAAAAATCTTTGAGGGCAATCTTGTCATGTAACTTTGCACTGTAAGATGTTGGAGGAATTATGGTTAGGTTTAGGGTTTCTCTTTGTACATCTGAGTATGTTTAATATAGAGGTTATTCAGAATTTGGACCATAAATTGATTCCTGATTTGAAGGAATGGCCATACAGGCTAAGACACACACCCCATAATTTCTAACTTCTAAGGAAGTTGGTTGTGTTACAACAGAGATTTCAAACATAGCCTAAGGAAATCCTAGGCTTTGTCAGCTTACCTGGGTTTCTTCCATAAAGAAAATGGGGTTCTTCCATAAGGATATGGAAGCTGCCATGATGCAAAGTTTGTTCCCTTTACCAACTTTTCCCTATAAAAGGCTGCAGCAAGAAACCCTTGGCAGCCATTGGCTCAGATGTTTGAGAATATGTCCACTGCTCCAGCAAACACGAGTCCCATGATATTGGTGGTTGTTGTTTTCTACAAACTAATCCTTGTGGAAAGGATTCCTCCAAGAGTCATACTACATGAAGGAAAAATGTACCTAAGGCCAACTAGCACATTGGGAGACATTCTCTTCCAAAGTTTCATGGGCTGCAGTTGTCAGTCAGAGGAAGATATTTCCTCTAAGGATTGCAAAGAAGCTTCTGCACAATAACTTCAGACTGTGAGAAAAGCGAAGTCTTTAATAATGCCCCAGGAAATCAAAAGCCACTTAGATAATTATAGATGATAGAGTGGGTCATACCTAATCATACTTAAATCCAGTGAAATCAATGGTTTTTAAATTAGTCATGACTAACATAAACCTCATTAGGTGCAGTTGGTATGACAATATTGGGATCCTCCCCTTTCAATCTAATAAACTGAATTCCCCTGCCCCCATCTCCTGTAATGTGCATAATGATGCATAGTCATTTATTTAAAATGTGGTAAGCCAGCTCTGTGTTTGAGGGCCTTTCTGATCAATCTCTGGAATGGGGGGTTGGACCTGTGTTCCAAAGCCCTACCATGATGAAAGCTCATGACTGGGAAAGAGATGAAAAAGAGTGACATCAGAATAGGACTGTGGTTGAACTAGTTACTTACTCAGTTTTGCCTCTAAAAGGTAGGTTCTAAACATGCTACTTGCTCAGATTCGTGGAGAAAAAGTTTAGGGAGGTGTGATATGATTTGACATGACGTATGATCTTTAAGGATCCCTTTGCTTGTCTTGGCTATTTCTTTGCCGTAACGAAGGGTATAAACATGCCTGTAAACTCTGTAATGATGTGGTGCAACATCTTTACATCTCCAAAAAGTAACTAGAGGATTTTATTACATCATCATCATCATCATCATCATCATCATCATCATCATCATCATCATCATCATATTATGGGTAATCTACAATTAGATTCACAGTCAAAGACTAGTGAAAACTTAATAATTCAAGTCCTAACCAAGGACCTAAGAATGATTAAGTAGAGTCTGAGGATATAGGCAGTTCCAAGCAGGGTTTTTTTTTTTGTAAAATTAGAGTGTTCAGGTCTGATAAATTCAAAATTTCCAAATATTGCAGGAGTCCTTTAGGTATTGCTCCAAGGGCTCCAGTCACAATTGGTATAACAGCAGATTTCTTTTTCCACAAGCATTCAACTTCGATCTGCAAGTCCCAATATTTCGTGATCCTAGCGTCACTAGGTACAGCAACATCAGTGAACCAGACTTTCTTCTTTTCAATGACCGTTATATCAGGCATGTTATAAACAAGATGCCTGTCTATTTGGATTTTAAAGTTCTGTAAGATCTTAACCTGCTCATTTTCCAAAACCTCGATGGTTCCAGTGGTTCTTGCTACATTCAAATCCAAACCTCTGGCAAAGCTTCCAATGAATAATTTTGCAACTTAGTCATGACGCTGCTTATAGTCAGTTTGTGAAATTTTGCTGCAGCCACTGATCAAATAGTCAATCGTTTCATCCTTTTCACTACAAAGGCGACATTTACTGTTGTTTGTTACATGATGAATTTTCACTTTCATGTAATTAATTCACAAACCTTGTTCTTGAGCCGTTCAAATAAAGCCTTCAGTTTCTTTCTTTAACACTCCTGATTCTTTAACACTCAGCTCAGCCTTTTTATCGGCTTTTTCCTTCTATATCCTTCAAGTATTGACCATGCATTGGCTTGTTCTTCCAATTAACAAA